CAGGTCTCTTGGAGAAAAAAAAAAAAAAAAAAAAAAAAAAAAAAAAAAAAAAAAAAAAAAAAAAAAAAAAAAGGGAAAAAAAAAAAAAAAAAAAAAAAAAAAAGAAAGAAAGAAAGAAAGAAAGAAAACACAAAAGGGACACAGAAAATGACAAAATAGCCATGCTATTAAAACAAAATCAAAATTTTAATAGTCTCATTGAGATATGCAATTCACTGACCTAAAGAACATAATTCACCATAGTTGGGAATGGGAGCACACATCTATATAGCCAGCAATCAGGAGGCTGAGGTAGTATTGCCATAAATTCAAGACCATCATATAGATACATCACATTTATTACTCATTCATCCGTTGATTTGTTTCATTTTCTGACCATTATCGGTAACATTGCTATAAAACTTGTGTGTCACTTATCTTGGATATATACTCAGGAGCACAGTGGGTGGGTCACGTAATTCTGTTTATCTGTCAGACCCACCAGACTGCTTTTCCCGTGGTGGCACATTGAGTCAGGAGCTGGAGTTCCCACATCCCTCCTACTTACCTCAGCTCCCCCAGTGGGCGTGAGTGAGATCTCATCCTAGTTTCCTGTTGACTACTGATGCTGGAACACTTCGTCAGGTTTTGTCTAAGCACACTAGAGCACCCTGGGCATCTGTGTGTATCACTGTACAGGATCTGAGGTCACTGGGGGTTACCCAGATAATCATGCCCTGCTCCCTCTCCAGCTTCAGTCCGGGGGATGCAGATATGGAAAAAGTCCTAAGATCACGGTCCTCGAAGAAAACCCTCAGGTGACCCACCAGCCACAACTCTGGTTTGAAAAGAGGAGCATGAGTTTGCTTTCAAACTCTCCTTGAAATTAGAACTGGAGATGTTAACTGGATATCTGTTTCGTATAACCATTCTTAATGCTGGATATGGCGTCACAGAACTGGCAGGGATCGCATAGATGATAGACTTGATGGTCCAATGCCACTTGCCTGTCTAGGCTGTGTGGGGCGGTTGGACAGAGCCTTTCTAGATACTCATTAAGAGGTGACACACTGTATTTTATTTATTTATTTATTTATTTATTTATTTATTTATTTATTTATTTATTTATTGACACATTGTATTTTAGAAGGATGCTGGACTCAGAGAGACTGGGAGCATAGTTCAGTGCCAGGAGGGCGCTCTGGACGCGGGCGCCCCCTGCCTGCTAGTGGGTGTGCGCGGCGCGCTGGGCTGTGCACGCAGCAGTTTCGCACGGTGCTCCTGTGCCACAGTAACAACAACAAACAGCGACACCTTCCACCACGGAGCCATCCCCTCCACTACCACCCACCTGCGACGGTGAGAACCCAGCCAAACCGGACTGGCGACTACAAGTCTAGCTCGCACCAGCGCGCGCTCCGCCCCTCCCCCTCTTTGTCGACCGGGTCATCGCAAAGGCCCAGAGACCTCCCAGTCCGCTGGCCTGCCGACCTCGCGACGCCGGCTGGGAGCACATGGACACCCGCGCGCCAGAAGCCCCCTTCGCGGATGAACTGCGGGACAAGGTGAGCGGCCTACCCTCACCGCCTTGCGGCCCAGGGTCCGGGTCAGGGGTCCTGGGACTGAGGTCGGTGGTGGGGCCGACGGCGGGCAGGAAGTACCCACTGCGCCCCCGGAATTCTCCCCTTCCTCCACAGGGACAGCCCCGACACAACCCCGCCCAAGTCCCGCCCACTCCCGGGATTGGCGCCGCCCCCAGAGTTCTTCCCGGCACCCCCAATCCTCCAGCCCCGCTCCGACTCCTTTGGTCTGCACCTTGTCCTTGTCTCCTCCCTTTCTTCTCACAATCTGGCCCGCCTGCCCACGCGTGGGTAAATCGGGACTGAAGCCGTACTCTCTCCTAGCACAATTCTTGCTTTCCTATTTGCCAAAGCAAATTCCAGTCGCAGAACACATTAAAAAAGTGGACTAACATACTAATCAGCATTTTTCTGACCAAATTAGATATTCCCTGATTAAAGGAGCCACCTAGGACTAAGAGGATTAGATTGCATATACGGTAGGAGCAGCACTTGTCATGCTGGGAACTAAACTTCCCTCTCGAGAGGGACACAAAGGGGACGGGGAGACTCGGGTTATACATGAGTAGATTTCAACCTGTAAGGATAATAGCGTATACGAAACGCTTGCAGTTGTAATAGCAGTATTTGCTTATGATTTGGTAAACAATGCCAACTGAAATGCCCATACCAGCTAATAAACATTCCAAGTATAAAGGAAGGAACATTTCTCTCTCTCTCCCTTTTTTTTTTTTTTTTGTATTTAGGACAGGATGTACAGGGTGTACAGGGTGTACAGGGTCTCACTGCGTAGGTCCGACTCCTAGTGATGCTCATGTTCATAGCCTCCCAAGTGCTGGGATTACACGTGCACGCCACCACGCCCAGTCTCAATTGCCTGACTCAGCGCGCCCCACCCCGGGGGCGGGCCGGCACAGCAGGCCAGGGGATCGAACTCTGGGACCCTGTGTCTGCCTAAGCAGGTGCTTTAATTCGCTAAGCTATTTGGCCAGCCCTAGGAAGGAGCATTTCTGCACAACTCGGTGAAAAAGAGACGTTGAAGTTCAAATTTCAAGGCCAGCTAATAAACACTGCAATGATAAGGAGGGATATGGTCACTTTTGGTAAGCCATCGATAATTTTTGGTTCCTCTGAAGAATTCCCAAGGGACTGCGTTGTGTGGTCTGAGGAATTTTAAATCCTGCTAATGAGGTAGTTTTGCATGGCCAGTTTGTTGCAGCACTTGGTACCTCTCTAAAAGACCCTATATGATGAGTTACTGCACAATATCTACAGTGTCCTGCACCAATAGTAAAAATTCTATTTAGTTGTCTTGTGGGTCAATTTTTCAGGCAGAAAATCTACTTCAAGAACTTCAAGAACATTTTCAGGCTCTAACTGCAACATTAAACAACAGAAATATCCTTTTCCTATCTTTAATAAATAATGCTTTTGGATTATCAAATCACCATGGGATATCTTTTTGTGCTGTGCCATAAGGGTTTAATTGTTTACTTAGGATTTACCAGTATTTACATTTGTACTGTAATGTGGCATCCTGATGCATTAATTACCATTTACCTCTAGCAGAAGGCTTTGAGTCTTAAAAAAATATATATTTGCACCTGGAACCACTTATTTTCAACTTTTGATTTTTTTTTTTTTTTTCGGAACGGGGGATTGAACTCAGGCCCTTGTGCTTGCCAAGCATTTATTTACTGAGCTATCTCCCCAGCCCCTCAACTTTTGATTTTGAAGATGAGTTCACACAAAACAAAAATGATTCTCAAGCATGATGACATTAAACCATAGGAAGGCTGATTCTAAAATGTTAATTTCCATTATATTTGTACTCAGAGTTTGGCTAACACATACCAAACGCACATCCCCAAGTCCATATCCAAGTAAGGTGACCCAGGTTTTCAAAACAAGCTCACAGCTTAAAGATTAAAAGCATACACTAAGAAAAACTCAGGGAATGTAGCAGATTTACACTGATGTTAGGCTTTGATTCCTTCATTTTAAAAGTACCATGTCATGCTTCTGACATGACACATTCACGCATATGTTGAGCAGGTGCGGTCTGAAGTAGGGTCTTTGAGGGCATGGTAGGTTGGGTACTCTGTACTCCAGTTCTATATCTACAATTCTCCTTAACATTGTACCGGAAGAAATGGGAAATCGTATAAAGGACTTACAGAAGAATGTGAACGACCTAATGGTGCAAGCTGGTATTGAAAAGTGTTTTAAAGAACAAATGGTAAGGGCATTACTAGGAAACTGCATTCAACTTGAAAAATGCAATCTCAGTGAATTGTCTTTTAACTACATGAAAAACCTTTAAAAAATAATAGTAGTATTTCCAAATGCTTCCCCCCCCCCCCCCGGAAATGGGGATTGAACTCAGGCCCTTGCGCTTGATAGGGAAGCGCTTATTCTACTGAGCCATCTCCCCAGCCCCCAACTGCTCTTTTTTAAATATACTGAGGTGCTCTTTGTCATAATTCTTTTAAAGTGCACTTTTGGGGGGGGGCTGACTCAGCCCACTCTGGGGTGGGGCTGGCACAGCCCTTAGTGCTGGGGATCAAACCATGGCCCCTGCATTTTGTCTAAGCTTGCCTAAGCAGGCACTTTAGTCTGCTGAGCGATCTCACTGGCTCTGTAAAAGTGTATATTTTAAGTGAAAAATTCATTTTGCTTTATTCCCCCTCAATACACCATGGATCAGCTTTGGGAGAGTTGAAAGTTTTTAAGGCTTTTTTTTTTTGCCTTCTTATGTTTCTATAGTTTTTTGTTGTTGCTTTGTGCTGAAGTTTGCAGGCACTTATAGCAGCTAGACTTCGTTGCTAGTATAGAGACCTCTTTAGTGTCTACTTTTCAGTGATTCACTTTGGACTTGGTTTGTATTGTTAATGACACAAAGGTAATCTTAGATAATGGCATACAAAGAAAACCAATTAATATCAATAACAAAATATATCAGTAACAATGTCACACTGGTAACAACAAATCAGCAACAATAATATCATCAAAAACAAATGATATGAACATACCATAAGAGCCAATAATATATACTACCCTGAACTGCTTAAAAGAGACCTGTTGGGGGCCAGGGAGATGGCTCAGTAGAATACCGTTTTGGAACCCAGAAAGTCACAGTTATTTCCACCTAGGGTAATGATCTGTGGTTTTGTTAGGTGCCACCCACCCCATTCCAGATGTCCCTCTGTCTGTTCATCTCAGACTGTGGTAACCATCCAAGCCTAGGCATGTCTTTGCTCGTGACGGTAGGTGGAGAAAGCACTCAAAACTCAAATCTGTGCAGGATGTAGGCAGCAGGGTGAGGGTTCAAATAGACCTCTGTACTCAGTGCCAGCACTTTTAGACCCAACCACTTCTGAGAGCTGTACACTAGAAAACCAGGAGTTTTAACTAGCCTGGGCAATATTGTAAGACATTTTTTGAAAAAACTGGAACAAAACAAAAATAAAATTCTGATTGTATGACCAAAAATACAGCTTTACGTACTAAGGTTCTGTCAGATGTGACCCTCTTCCCAGAAGCTTCATCTTCTCAGGCTCTGTGGATTTTAAGCTGTCTACCTTCCCACCATCAAATTCTAATCTCTTGAAGCCCAAGTACCCAGGCAAGAGCATGTGGCCAGGCTGGGTGTTTCTATGGCAGCCATATGCCTGCTTGAACTGCTTAGACTTTATCTGGCTGTTTTAAATTAGCTCAGGAACCTACTAAATAGTAGGTATCAAACTACATGGTACTTGTCAAAACTTTCCTCTCTCTCTCTCTCTCTCTCTCTCTCTATATATATATATATATATATATATATATATCTATGATTATATATATATATATATATATATATATATAATCATTGAATACAGCATTACAGAAGGTCAGATTTTATTTAAAAGCTAGTAAGTTCTTTTAAATTAACAAAAGAGGGAAATTTAAGTCTGTTTGGATCAGGTTGTGCTTAATAACACAAGGCTTATGTTGTTTCATGTGGATTGTGTAAACCATAAGATTGTGTTCCTATGCAGGAGGGATCCCTAACTCATATATTGGGCATTTTATCTGTCACTCTTCATTTAACTGCAGTATCTGTGACACTGTCCCTGTATGTATTTAGAAAGTAGATAGACAACATGTTGCCGAGGATCATCTGTCCCCTGCATAGACCCCTATGACTGGCAAATTAGTAATGGTTAGTGATCGGTTCAGTGATCACACTCCACTGGCTGCAGAGTAGTGTGTGTTGGTTATTTGTTCTGAGTTCTGAGTCTGCACTGACTTCCATCTGACTAGAAGCAATATTTTTTCACTTATGCTTTTGTGTGTACTGAATTCTGCCTGTGTAAAATGTTTTAATAATTGCAGGAAATTAGGGTACTTTATTGAAAACTGTATTTGGGTTTAATCAACTATACATTAATTAGTATGGTATATAATTCAACTAACCTCTTTCAAAGATTTTTTTTTTCCTGCAGAGTGAAGATATTAGAAAAATCACTTGATACTGATAAAATAAAAACTGTTCTTTTTGGGTAATAGTTATATAATATGAATTCTCATTTTTAATTACGTATGTGTTTATGTGTATATTTTGATGCCAGGGATCAAGCTCAGTGCCCCAACATGTTAGGCAAGTGCTCTACCATTGAACTATACTCCCAGACCACTAAAATTCAGTTTAACAAATATAAGAGTAAAGAGATGAAATAAAAATATAATTCATCTGTGTGTGATGTTGCACATCTATAATCCTTGCATTCAGGAGACTGAGGCAGGAGGATTGCTGCAAGTTCAAAGCCATCCTGGGCTGCATAGTGAGTTCAAAATCAGCCTGAGCTATATAGCAAGACCCCGGTCTCAACAAAACAAAATAATCAAAGACTATAATTCATAAGGAGATTAATTATCAAAGATAGTAAGATACTTGTAAACAATGGCAGGACATTTTAAAAAATCTTTTATTTATTTGTTTATTTATTTGGTAAAGGGTCTCCCTACGCAGCTCGGACTCAGTGATTCTCCTGTCTCGGCCTCTCCAGCACTGGGATTACAGGCATGTGACACCACATGTCTGACAGGGTGCAGGGCCAGCACAGCATGTAGTACCAAGGATCAAATCCAGGTCCTTGTACTTGCCAGGCATGCACTTATGCCACCCAGATATTTCCCTGGCCCCTGGAACAAATTTTTTGTGCATACCACTTCTAAACCATGCAAGAAAAGCATAAACATTAGGTTATTTTTTCCCAAATTAAAATTGTATGTAGAACTTTTCCTCTTTAGTATTAAGTCTTAACCCAGGACTTGCCCTATGGTAGGCAAGTCCTCTACCACTGAGCTGCATCCCCTTCCATATTTAATTTTTTTTTCAAAGGTCACAAATAGCTGGGCTTGGTGGCACATACTTATAATTCCAGCACTCTCGGAGACTAAGGCAGGAGGATTGAAAGTTTAAGTCTCTTAATAATTTAGTGGATTAGTAATTTAGCAAAACCTTGTCTCAAAAAAAAAAAAAATCACAAGCAGTTCTTGGAAATTGCTTTTAAATACCTGCATTCCAACTCTCTTTCATTGCTCACATCTTGAAAAGACCAGCAACATGTAACATGACCATTCCAAACAGTTACTGAAGAAGACCCCAAAGTCCAGCTAAATCAAACCAACTGGAAAGAAGAAGCAGGTATCTGTGAGGTTCTTAGACTTTGCTTCCAAGGAAACCAGTCTTCAACCCTGGATGTTGATGCTTTTTCTCCCAAAGAGAGCTGTCCTGAATCCTGAGATCACCCTCTAGAAGTAATTAAAGAAAAGCAGGAGGATCCCATTCAAGCTTATTTTGTGCATTATACAAGGAACTTTTAATTATTCAGCTTGCCTCTCTCCAAGCCAAAGTAAAATATAGCTATTATCTTAAAAAAGGGGAAAGAGAGAAGGGGAAGGGAAAATTTTAAAAAATTAGCATGTGCTAAGTGCATGTACTAACACTCCACAATGAATGTAATCATTATATACTGCAAATATGTACTAATAAAAATAAAAATTTGAAAGAAAAGGACTCATAGTTTCTCATTTGAAAAAAAAGTGATTCTTGTGTATTATAAAAGTCAAAATCACCTATAATTCTAATACTAATTAGTCACTGTTGACATTTGTTGCAAGCATAGTTTTATACGCCATAGTTGACCGTACAGCCTATAATTGAATATCTTGTTCTGTTTTCATATTATAGCAATTTTTCCATGTGTGAATTTCACATACAATTTTTCTACAACTGCCTAGTATTCCAGGATATGCCTATAATTATCTAAGCAATTTAAGGTTTAACTAACTCTTGGACACTACGGCCATTCCCTATTTGCATGCTATTATAAATAATGCCATGAGCGATTATGCAAAGTCTTTGCACATTTCATGAAGTCAGACACATGACTGAAGCCATGAACTCAGCTAACTGTGCCTAAGAATGAAGTACACTTGATGGTCCCCAGTCTATGAACATCTCTTTTTTAATCTCATGTCTTAAATTGTATTGTTTTAATTCAGTATTCTTGGTGTTTTTAAATCATTATAGTGCCATTTGTCAAACTGGAAACTTAAAAGCATCTTTGTCATAACTGTGATTTTATTAGAAACCACAGTGGATATTTGAATTGAAGCAAGTGACAGATTTAAATTCTGAGCACATGGGGCTGGGGAGATGGGTCAGTGGATTAAGCGCTTCCCTGGAAAGCACAAAGGCCTAAATTCAATCCTGGGTTCCGAAAAAAGAAAAAACGACAGAGAGAGAGAGAGAGAGAGAGAGAGAGAGAGAGAGAGAAAAGAGAAAGCTTCAATTAGTTTTTTCTTTTTTTAAGTTTAATTTTTTTTAATAGATTGCAAATTGAAAATAAATTATTGGGGGAAACTACTCGCTTGGGCCCCCCTCCAGTCCCTCTCTTGGACAGGAGCTTTTCTTTCTCTCAATAAATATATTCTGCTTATAAAAAAGAAAATAAATTATTTACAAACATAAATGAATATAACAATAAAAATTGTCCAAAATAAAAATGAAAAAAGAATGTACAGATCAGTCATAAAGTTCACTGTATCAAAACCAAGAAACTTATATTCATATAATTAGAATTCTCAGAGTAGAAAGGAGTGGGTAATAAATATTTAAAGATTTAAAATTTCTGAATTTAGTTGAACTTATAATACTGCATTTCCAAGAAAAATGAAAATTTTGCAAAGAAATTTAAATAAAATCATACCAAGACACAAAAATGAAATTGTCCAAAACTTATTATAAAGAAAAAATCATTAAAGCATATACATAAAAAATACTAGTTATGGAAGAACAAAATTAAATAGCATCTTATTCCACATTAGAAAGAAAAAAAAGGACAAAGTGCATAAGAAACTAGACTAATTAAAGGACTGAAAGAAAAGATCTGTCCTCTTTGAATTTTATACCTAGCAAACATACCTTTGAAAACTAAATGTAAGATTTTCTAGTTATACAAACTTGAAATGTTTTAATACTTGTAGAAGCAGCATATAGGAAATAACAAAGATCATAATTCAAAAGGCAAAAGAAGTTGCAGTATGCTCCTGGATGAACAATAAAGAGCTCTCTC